TTAAATGGAAAGGACAAAAGAGAAAATTGGGGTGTATGCTGAACCAATCAATATTAAAGGATAAGGAATTTATTCAAACTATGGAAAAAGAAATAGATTTCTTTTTTAAAGAGAATAAGAAAGAAGAGGCTTCAGTGCAAAATGTATGGGATGCTGCTAAAGCGTATATTAGAGGACTAGTCATAACCTATACAGGAAAGAAAAATAAGAAGAAATAAAACCAAAAAATATTGGAAGAGTATAAAAGACTAGAAATAGAATTACAAAAAGAACCACAAAAAAGAACCTAAAAAATTAAATGGAATTAACAAAACATACACTGAATTTATTAGATAAAGAAGAATTGGCACAAAAAATTAAAAGTGCTTAACAGAACTTTTTTGAAACTGCAAATAAACCAGGAAGATGGTTGGCATATAAATTGAAAAAGGAGAAAGAAAAGAAACTGATACATTAGTTAGTAGAGGACAAAGGAACTCTCCATTATCAAAATGATGATAAAAATAATAATTCAAGATTACTATGAAAAGCTGTATAATCAGGAGAAAATTCCAGAAGACAAAATAAAACAATATTTGGAAAAGGCTGAATTACCTAAAATACCTGAGACAGTGAAATCTATGTTAAATGAATGAATAACAATGATGAAATTAACAGAAGCGATCAAGAGGCAAAAGAGTAATAAAACACCAGGACCAAATGGGCTACCGGCAGAACTTTATAAAGATTTACAAGGTATTTTAAGCCCATAAATGTTGGACATTTATAATGAAGTACTGTTAGATGCGAAGGTACCAAATTCATGGATGGAAGCATATATTACTATCATACTGAAAGAAGACTCAGATTTAATGCAGATAAAAAACTATAGGCCTATATCCTTACTGAATGCTGATTATAAAATATATGCCTCAATAATAGCAGAGAGATTCAAAAGGATTTTGAATGAATTTATACATTCAGATCAGAATGGATTTCTGCCTAAGAGACAGATTAAAAACAATATGAGAATGATCTTAAACACACTGGAGTATTATGAAGCACACCCTGGAAAACAAATGGCGTTGATTTTCCTAGATGCTTTCCTAGAAAGCATTTGATAATGTAAACTGGCAATTTATGTTATTACAATTAAAAACTATGGGTTTTGGGGAGAGATTTATCAATATGATTAAGGCAATATATCACAAGCAAATGGCAAAGGTGATGGTAAATGGAGATATGAAAGAACTTTAATATTAAAAAAGGCACAAGACAAGGATGTCCACTATCGCCTCTACTATTTATATTGACATTGGAAGTGTTAAACAGAAATATTAGACAAGATATAGAAATAAAAGGCATGGAAATAAAAAAGAAAAATATAAGCTACAGGCATTTGCAAATGATTTGGTTTTTATTTTGGAAGATCCACTAGGAACAAGACTAAGGTGACCAGACGTCCCGCTTTTGGCGGGACACCCCCGCTTTTNAGCCATTTGTCTGAAACGGTATAGGGCTTCCTGCCTAGGCAGGGGGTTGGACTAGAAGACCTCCAAGGTCCCTTCCAACTCTGCTATTGTATTGTTTTGTAATCTGCTGACTTTGTAAACTGCTTAGAGAGTGTTATGAAGCATTGTGGAGTGGTAGATAAGTTTAAGAGGAATTGTTATTGCTATATAGTTTCTCCCGAGGGAGAGGGAGAAAGTGCCGCCTCTGGAAGTGCCCAAGCGGCTTTCTCCGGCAGGGAGGCTTCCCCCCACTACTCCCATGCCCATCATCCCTGCCTTCCTCTTCCCCTCAGACGCTCTCCTCTTTCCCGTCCTTGTCACTTTTGCTTAGAATCCACCAGGGGGAGCTCTCAGTTTCAGGACAGAACTGAGCATGCGCTAGCCTCTTCCGCTAATGCAAGACACGTGATTCCTGGGTATTTAGTTGGGGGGACACTAAAGGCGCATCTAAGCCTTCCCACCACCATCCCCTCCCCCTGGTAGCCGGGGCGGGGACCATTGCGGGAGACCCAGAGGCTGCCGAGAAGCCTTGCAGGGATGCGGATTCAGACGAGGTTCCCGTGTTCTGTGAGTTGCTGCTGTGCCCATGCAAAGGAGGCATGCGTGGAGGCGGGCCATGTCTTCTTTCGGGGTTGGAGTCCGGGGTCCCATGTTCCCCTGCCGCTCTTTCCCATGCAGAGGCCGGGGAGCAAAGCAGAGAAATAGGTTCTCTAGAAGGGAGGGGCCGCTTCCCCCACATTTCCTGTAGGAGCCTCTTCATGGGGGTGGGGAGGCTGGCCCGAAGTCTTCCTGCTGGCCCTGGGTGCAAGGTCGGTATGCGAGGACTGGAACTGGGGTGATGCTTCCCAGCCTTTCCCCACGACCGCAAAGGGGCTCTGCCTGCAGACAAGGGAAGCATTGCAGGGACGGAGATGCAAGTGGGGCTGAGACGCACATTCGCACCTGGAGCCCAGATGACACCAATGTTTGTCAGAAGTTGGCAGCTTTACACTCTGGGTGTTGGAGTGGAAGTTGGAAAAAGGCTGCATTGAGTTAAGAAGTGGGGGAATGTGTTTATAAGAATTGTGCGAATCTTAAGGTCAGGTTAAATGTTTAATATATGGATTGTTCAGCTACATGCATTGGATGATGGCTTGTTAATTCAGCCTTCTCAATTTCCCAAATAGAATTGCGCCAGATGGGCTTCTGTTGCTTTTATTATACATTCAAATATTGATTTATTTACTTAATAAATGGGTTTATACAGCGCTCGTCTCAATTTCTCTGTGACCTGTGATATTTGCGATGTAAAGAGTCTGTCTTTATTCACAATCACTGAAATCAGTTAAGTAACTCAGAAATAGGAATTCCCCAAAAATATGTTATGTATTTCTCCAGCGTTTTGAATATTGCAAAAAGTTGGTCCAGAAAGGTTCTCCTGCATTTCCCCCAGATCCAAATAAATTGATTTACCTAATAAGATTCTCCTCCCTCTTTCCAGACTTTGGTAAGTTCATTAGCCTTTTTATTTTACTTTGGAGAAAGGTGCGCAGTAGTTAAATTAGTTATGCTATAATTACTGGAAATTTCTGTTTTCCATCTCAGATATGTGAAGTGGAAATCTTTCCTGCTCCATCTGAAAATGAAAGGATCTTGTAAGTGTGGAGCGCGGAATGTCCTTGGGAAACCAGACCAGGATCTCTTCATGAAATTCAGGTCTTGTGAATAGGAAGACCTCTGGAGATCCGTTAACCCATTTTGCAACTGGATTAGAGAAAAAAGAGAAGATGGAAGGACAACACCCACAAGATGCAGGAACTGGAAAAAACCCCTTTGTTGCTCGGCCTTGGAGCTGCGAGGAGAATGAGTCACGTCTTAGGCAGAAGATGCAGGAAGTGGGAACTAACACTTTAGAGATCCAATGCTGTCATTTCAGAAAAGTACAGTTTCAGAAG